TCTCAGGCTTTAGGAATTGTCTTCAATGTCATCTCCTTCCGTTGACTTAAATGTCAGAGGAGCCTTCCCAGACCACTGCATGTCAGTTCACTCTGCAAAAGTTATCACAACTGATGATCATGTAAGTTTCTCTCTCCTGCTAACCAGTAAGCTCCAGGAGAGCAGGGCCATTTCTGACTTTGCTTCCCATTGAATGCCCCGTGCTCAGCCAGGCACCAGGTGCCTAAGAAGGGTTCGGTAAACATGTCTTAAAGGAAGGAGTGAGTGTGTGAACTGTTGCCTCAATGGCTCTGAAGTTAACATTCACCCTGGGTGAAATGGGGCTCCTTAACAGTTGACCCCATGGTCAGGTCCTCCAAGTACCATGGCTCAGGCTCTGACTAGACCAACCAAAGATGCACTTCTACAAGATGGCAGAGCATCTGGCACACTGGCTCCACCTACCAGCCAGGGCACTTCTGCCAAGACCCAGAGAGTGCACTGATGGGGGAGACAAAGGGGCTGGTGGGCACTGATTTATGGCTAAGTATGTCTGATAAGCCTGAGGAGTTGGGCCAGGTCATCAGTGCAGTGGAGAAGCCAGAAGCCCTGAATGTAATGAGCCCCCACAGCTGTTTTTAATGGGGACCTGATTATTTGAGGGCAGTTAGGGGAGAGGAGGAACATGGTCTCACATGCCTAATTAAAAGTTATAAGAAAGAGAATGACACATGGCTAGAGTCTGCTGAAACACCGAGAAGGCAGGGCTGACTTTTCTATTTAAAACAGTGTCAATTCTTCCCAAATCATTTTATGAGACCAACATCATCCTGATTCCAAAACCCGGCAGAGACTCAACAAGAAAAGAAAACTTCAGGCCAATATCCATGATGAACATAGACGCAAAAATCTTCAATAAAATACTGACAAGCCGATTGCAACAGCACATCAAAAAGCTTATCCACCATGATCAAGTAGGCTTCATCCCGGGGATGCAAGGCTGGTTCAACATACGCAAGTCTATAAACGTAATTCACCACATAAACAGAACCAAAGACAAAAACCACATGATTATCTCAATTGATGCAGAGAAGGCCTTTGACAAAATTCAACAGCCCTTTATGCTAAAAACCCTCAATAAGCTAGGTATTGATGGAACGTATCTCAAAATAATAAAAGCTATTTATGACAAACCAACAGCCAATATCATACTGAATGGGCAAAAACTGGAAGCATTCCCCTTGAAATGTGGCACCAGACAAGGATGCCCTCTCTCACCACTGCTATTCAATATAGTATTAGAAGTTCTAGCCAGAGCAATCAGGCAAGAAAAAGAAATAAAGGGCATTCAAATAGGAAAGGAGGAAGTCAAATTGTCTCTATTTGCAGA